ACTTTCATGTTTTTTATGATCTTAAATTTTTATTTCTAGCCATCAAGTCTTCATATTGATATGTTATGACATCTACATCTATGGATTCTCAATTAAAATTAGTATCTATTATTGGTAAAATAATTGATCAATTGCAATATGCAAGAGTAATTGGTTGTTTGATGTATGCAATGACTTATATAAGACCAAATATAGCATTTGTTATTAGAAAGTTTAGTAGGTACACAAGTAATCTAAGTAACTTACATTGGCAAGCAGTTAAAAGAGTACTTTGATATTTGAAAAAAACAATTAATTATGGATTATGCTATAGTGGATATCCTTTAGTTATGAAGGATATTTTAATACTAGTTGGATTACTAATATGGAATATCATGCTTTTACAAGGATGGATCTTTGTACTTGGTAGGGGTGCCGTTTCTTAGGGTTTTAAAAAATAAACAAGCATAACAAACTCCACCATAGTAACCAAGTTTATCGCGTTAGTCGCAATAGCTCAAGAAGCTAAATGGCTAAAGAAATTTATTACATGAAGTAGCTTTATAGCCTAAACCAATTTCTCTAATTTCTATCTGATGTGAAAATGAAGCAACTCTAGCAAGGGCATATAGCCAAGTATATAATAGAAAGTCTAGACATATTAGATTAAGACATAGCTATGTTCAATAATTAATTTTAGATGAAGTGATCATTATAAATTATGTGAAGTCAAGTGAAAACTTGGTGGATCCTTTAACCAAAAGTCTTACTAGAGACTTGGTAAAAAAGACCTAAATAAAGATAGAGCTCAAGCTCATAAAATAAAGTCACCCATGATAGAAACTCGACTCAACACTTGGTATAACATTGAGACTTGAGTTCAATAAGACAAAGTACATCATCTGTTTGTGACTACTAGCATTATGATAATGTTTAATGCCATCTCGTGTAAAGTGTTAGGTACCCATAATGGTAAAAGAAAGATGAGTAATATACTTTTAATAGACCTATAGCATAAATATGTTGAGTGTTATAGTTAAGGGAATATTCTTAATAGGAGCTACCTATTTGAGTGTGAAGTGTGGCCACTTTAGGAGCTTAAGAGCTTGGCTCTAACGGTACTCATGAAAAGAATATGGATACACCTAACCATAAATGTGTCACTAGATACCAAACATTTATTGGGTGTTGAAATCATTGTATAAGACAAGCTAAGTTAATCAAATGGAATAGCTAGTTCAAAGCATAGTCTACCATGTGTTTTCAGTTAACCTTAACTTATTTTCACTAAATAAAGGTTTAAATCGAAAGATACTTTCATTTATGCAATTGATTTCCAAGGTCATTATAAATTTAGATTATTTTAAAAATGGTTGGAGATTGTTAGAGATTTTCAAAATAAAATTTGAGAAATAATCCGACATTGGAAAAGGAAATGATAAACATTCATTTAAATTATGAGGAGTAAAAGTCCACTATAGTTGGACTTAAATGGCTAATGGACCATGGGCTTGGTTTTTCAAGCTTGGTTAGTCTTGCATTAATTAAATAATTAGTATATATCAATATTTAATTAATGGTGCTTGGCACTTGTGGTACAATAAATAAAATATTATTTTATTTAAAGTTTATAAAATTTTATTTTATTTAAGGCTTATAAATTTTTATTAAAGTTTATCCAAAATAGATAGAAAAAATAAGAATAGACAGTTAAGTCTATACAAAATAGACGAATAAATCTATTCAAAATAAATAGTTTCAATTATTCAAAAGCATATAGTTTCTATAATAGACAATTATGTCTATAGGAGAAAAAGCTCCTTTAGTTTTTTGAAAAATATGCAAAAATAATTTTCGAAACTCTCCCTCTTTCTTCAAACTTCAGATTATTTTATAAAAGTTTTGCCACAAAAAACCTTTATAGAAGTTTCAGTAATTTTGTGGTCCGCTGGTGAATGCTTGATGGACTAATATCATCAGTGTAAAACATAGTCAGTCATTAGGCTTTATTGTATCCTTAAGATTTTTGCTTGCAACCCTTTTGCACACCTACAAAGTAAATAATATGGTAGGAGTCAATAAAACCCTAAGAAAAGTGACACCATTATACACTTTAGAACTTTTCCTCAAATTTTCAGATTTATCAGAAGTAGTAATTCCATATTTTTAGTATTTGCACTAACAAATACTTCCATTTACAACATTTTCTCATATTCTTAGACTACAACATACTTTGTAAAAAAAATACCACTCTTTTTTTTTATCATCCTTTATGATTAATTCATGCAAAGAATTATAGAGGAAGAAGTAAAACCAAAATTGTTCTTTTCCCCTTATAAGAGAAAAGGAAAAGTTACGAGGATTTGAAACTTTCCTCATAGGCAAAAACATATTCTACATCTTAAATACCCATTACTTATGATAGAGATAAGGGTAATTCAACGAGCTGGTTTTCTTTATTAAACATGTAGGATTTATATTTAATTAGATATTAATTTCATCTAGAAAATGAAAGAAAGAAAGATAAAGGAAAAAAAAACATATCACTTGCAAATCAAAATAATAAATAAATAAATAAACAATTAGTTCGATATTTGGAAAAGCAAAATATCCAAAATATACTCATTTGACGTTTTAGTTTTTCAACTTTTTTTTGAATTTTTCGCTTAAAAATGAAAGGGAAGAAAAAACAAATCCTAAAACTTCAATAAATTTAGAATTCAAATTCTTGTACTTGCAACATTTTTACCCAATTTTAGATTGTGGCATACTTCATAAAAAATGATTGAATCCACCTTTCTTTTTTTTCCTTTTACCATGCTTTACGATCAGTTTATGCAAAAAATTCTAATGGAATAAGTAAAACCAAGGTTGTTCTTTTCCTCTTATAAGAGAAATGATAAAAGTTATGAGAACCTGAAGCTTTCTTCATGGACAAAAACAAATTCTGCATCTTACATATTCATTGCTTCCGAAAGAGATAAATGTAATTGATCAAGTCAGTTCTCTTTATTTAACGTATAGGTTTGATATTTAATTAGATATTAATTTCATTTACAAAAGGAAAGCAAGAAAGATAAAGGAAAAAAACATATCATTTCAATATCAAAATAAAAATTAATTAATAATTAATTAATTTGATATTTGAAAAAACAAAATTTCCAAAATATTATCCGAATTAAGTAAAATGACATACTCATAAGACGTTTTAGCATTTTTATTATTTTTTTTAATTTTTCGCTTAAAAATAAAGGAGAGAGAAAACAAATCCTAAAACTTCAATAAATTTGAGATTCAAATTCTTACACCTACAACCTATTTATATATTTTCAGATTGCGGTGTACTTCATAAAAAATTGATAGAATCTACTTTTTTTTTCTTTTACCTTTCTTTATGATTAGTTTATGTAATGAATTATAAAGGAATAAGTAAAATCAAAGATGTTCTTCTCTCTTTATAAGAGAAAAGGAAAAGTTCTGAGGATCTGAAGCTTTCCTCATGGGCAAAAACAGATTCTACATCCTACATACACATTGCTTACGAAAGAGATAAAGGTAATTGAGCGAGTCGATTTTTTTATTAAACAAATGGGATTTATATTTAATTAGATATTAATTCCATTTAGAAAAGGAAAGAAATAAAGATAAAAGCATAAAAAAATTCACTTCTAAATCAAAATAAAAAATAATTAGTTTGATATTTAGGAAAACAAAATATCTGAAAGATTATTCGAATTAAGTAAAATGACATACTCATATGACGTTTTAGTTTTTTACTATTTTTTATTTATTTCTTAAAAATAAAAGGAAAGAGAAAATAAATCTTAAAACTTCAATAAATTTGATATTCAAATTCTTGCACCTATAACCTTTTTATCTATTTTCATATTGCGACGTACTTCATCAAAAAAATTGATGGAATTTACCTTTTTTTTCTTATACTATCCTTTATGATTAGTTTATGCAAAGAATTACATAAGAATATGTAAAACCAAAGTTGTTCTTTTCCCCTTATAAGAGAAAAGGAAAAGTTATGAATATTTGAAGCTTTCTTCATGGGCAAAAACAGCTCATGCATCCTACATGCCCATTGCTTAGGAAAGAGATAAAGGTAATTGAGATAGCCAGTTTTCTTTATTAAACATATAGGATTTACATTCAATTAGATATTAATTTCATCTACAAATGGAAAGAAAGAAAGATAAAAGATAAAAGATAAAAAAAAAAAAAATCACTTCCAAATCAAAATAAAAATAAATAAATAAAATAATTAATTCAATATGACATTTTAGTTTTTTATTATTTTTTTATTTTTCGCTTAAAAATAAAAGGAAAGAGAAAACAAATCCTAAAACTTCAATAAATGTAGGACTCAAATTCTTAAAAATTGCAACCTTTTTACATTTTTTTTCTTTTGCCATCCTTTATGATCGGCTTACGCAAAGAGTTATAGAGGGATAAGTAAAATCATGATTGTTCTTTTCCTCTTATAAGAGAAAATGAAAAGTTTGAGGATTTAAACCTTTTCATGGGTAAAAACAGATTTTATATTGAACATACCCATTTTTTATCAGAGAAATAAAAGTAATTGGTCGAGCCGATTTTTTTTATTAAACATATAGAATTTATATTTAATTAGATACTAATTTCATCTATAAAAGGAAAGAAAGAGAGATGAAGGAAAAAAATCATATCACTTCCAAATCAAAATAAATAAATAAATAAGTAATTATTTCGATATATGAAAAAGCAAAATATAAAAAATATTATTCCAATTCAGTAAAATGACATACTCATATAACGTTTTAGCTTTTCACTATTTTTTAATTTTTGTTTAAAAATAAAAAGAAAGATTAAAAATAAAAGGAAAGAGAAAACAAATTCGAAAACTCCTTGGATGTAAGAGTTTGTCAATTCAATTTATTTAATCTCATTTTGTTGAAATTTTAAACTTTATGAACTTAGATTTTCTTTAAAAAAAAAAATCCATAAGAAATCCTTTCTACTTTGGAGATTTTTAATTATACAATACAAATAGCCTTATTGACTTCATTAGTTTGTTCTCGAATTGATAAGATTAATGGCAATTTTTTATTAAGCACAATAGGGGAGACAACAAAGTTTGTTCACCAAAGAAGATTGATACAGGGAACACATTAAGAAGTTCAGGGCTCCTCTTGGGATGGGTCTTGGGCCGCCAGAGTTTTGATATTTTGGATTTGGAGATGGAAACTAACCTTTTAATCAATCAAAGTCCATGCTGTTCTCCTTTACGAGGAAAAGGCCACAACCCAAAGTTTCGATTCGGTTGAACAATGAAAAGGTTAACGATTAAATTAAAAGGATAGTCTGCTAATTTTAAACAGGTGACGATGATAGGATAAAAAAAATAAAAAATAACATAATTTAAATTATAAAAAAATATTATTAATTTAGAAAAAATTAAAAAATATATTTTGTATTAATATGTTCATATAAATTATGACATAACAATTTTATATTTTACATATGTTTAATATAAAATAGATAAATATAAATATACGAATTATTAAAACTAAGGATAATAACAAAAATTAAGAAACAATAATCCATTTTATCCAAAAAGATTATAGAGTATCAATACATGAAGAAATGAGCTTTGATCCGTTTCATTTTACTCACCACTTATTTTTAAACACACTCATACACTGTATAATCTATGGTATAGTATTTTATCTATTATGGATGATTAACATCATATTAATTGTTTTTCTTAATAATCAAAAGTTAAAACCTAACAATTAGTGTTTTATATCATATAAAATATTGTATTCATGTCAAATTTTGTACAAAAATTATATATTATAATTCGTATTCACACGAAAACATAAATTTTTTTTTAATTTTATTAAACTTATTTATAATTTTGTTATTTTAAATTATATTAATTTTGTATCTTTTATTCATATCATTTTTATATCGTATCATCTTATTTCAAATTTTTAAATCTATCAAAAGTGTAATAATGAAAAAATGTGCTTCATTATTGAAAATTAATTACATAAATTAGATAAAATAAAATTAGCTTTATTGTTGGTATGCTTGAGTTGTTAACAATGAACATACCCCAAACAAACATTGACAATATTCAAAAGATACCAAAAGATCTAATAATTCTTAGTTTTCCCCGACAGAATTGAAAAAAAAAAAATGAAGAAAAATTAAACGCCATGGGACATGATCTTGGAAGTTGGAGCCACATCAAGTTTTGCCAATCAACTTTCTCCTGTTTGTGCCTTTATTAGCAGCTCCAGAATTTGATTTCCTTGCTGTGGGTGTAATGAGACCAAAATGGCTGTTTCGTACGCTTCTAAAGCTGCTAGATCTTGGTGGTACTGGTCAATTCCGTTCAGCTAATCACAACAGCTAACTATTACTTGGTTATGGATGCCAGAGTCAAGAAGGATTCTTATGCTATACTTTGAGAGGCCTGGGGCCATGAGGATGCCAATTGTCCTTCCATAGAAAAGTATCCAATCAAAATTAGGATTTATATGTGCAAAATATAGTAGTAATTACAAATAACTAGAAATTTCTAAAACAATGATAATAAAATTACCTGACAAGGATCATTATTGGTCATCACAATTTTGAAATGTGATAGAAGGAACATGTTGGAACTTATAAAAATCTTCTCCTCCTTTCCCCACTTTATCTATGAATGCCTTTGGCATACTTTCAATTGCCAATTTCTGGAGGGTTATAATGAAACTCAATCCATCTGGAAGCATCTTCATTTTTCTGCAGTGTGCAATCTCCAAAAACCGTAGAGCAGGCATGGCTCCTTGATCCACCTTCCACTCCTCCAAATTGGGAAGGTAAACTAGGCTCAGAGAATCAAGTCTGGGAAAACCTACTGCAGAGCAAATCATTTCCTTCCCTTTGAAAGCTAAATGACTGAATTTGAGAATCCTTAATTTGGGCAGCTTCTCCAGCGTTGGCATTGGATCTTCTTCAAGATTGGAACGGTAAAAGTAGATGTAAGTAATATCTTTAGAAAAGTGGTGGTACTCTGGTAACTTCCCTATATCCTCATATAAACTCAACTTACAAACACAACTCGAAAGGAGGAGTGCAAAATGTCTTGAATCTTTTCTTTCATGGAAAATAGATAAGGATTGGAGACATTTACTTCCAATGATCGCGGGATTGTCCGAATCCACCTTAAAATCTTCAATATTGAAGGGCCCACGAATCTCCAACTCCCTGAGATTTGTCAAGTTGAGAAGATCGTTTACATAACAACTCTTGGTGTTGAAGTTCACTAGTGTTTGAAGGTTTCTCAAAGTGCCCAACTTCAACTTTGTTCTACGTTTACATTTCTGAGGGAGATACAAATGTCTTAGTTGTTCCATCCTCCATATCACATTAGGGACATGAATAGAATCAAAGAATCCTCCTTTAAACCTTAAATCCAAGGTTTGCAAGCACCGAAGATTGCCTAGAGATGATGGCACCTTTGACCTACAGAATTGAAGATCTCTTAGACTCAAGAATCTCAGATGGATGAGATCAACTACATCACTGGGAAACTTGCGTCCTGCAAAACCACCATGTCCTTCAAAGTCTAGGACTCTAAGCAATTTAAACTTGTCGAACATGTATGTCCAAATTTCCCTTATTTTAGGCAATAGTAGAAACAATCCCAGAAGCAGCACGATATAATACAGTGGATTGCGATTGTCGTTTTCGTGGTTGTCGATGTAATTCTTCATTGTCAGAGGCAAATGCCATCTAAGTGATTCTTCTGAAATGAATTCATCGAAAATCAAAAGTGATCGAAGATGGGGACTTTTAATGCGCTGAATCCGAAGAAAATGATGGGCGGTAACTCTTCGAACTCTACTAATTGTAGATGACAGAACATTATTGCCTTGTGGATATGAAATTGACTTTTCCATAATGAATAGGAAATTTTCTTGTTTTGCCTTTGACAAGCAAAGTTCTCTCATGAGATCATGCATCTGAACAGTTTTGATCTTTAAGGTTGCCTCATCTCTTTCTCGTACTTGAATCATGCACCTTTCTACAAGCTCATTTAAGTAACATTCTGCCTCATCTTCTAGTATTTTCCCTCCATTTTCTTCTTTTTGCTTTGATGAAACAATACCTTCAGCAATCCATAATTGAATCAATCTAGCCACAGATATCTCATAATCCTCCGGAAAATGGCTTAAATAAAGGAAACATGGTCTTAAATAGGGTGGCAAATCATCATAGCTTAAGGCTAAGACATCCTCTGGACGTTGGTCTTTGCCTCGCTTCAAATATGACTTAACATCTTCTGACACTTTTTGCCATACATCGAATGAATTATTCTTTGTAGCCAAAATTCTCCCCAACACAATGATGGCTAATGGCAACCCTCCACAATGTTCAACCATGTCTTTCCCTAGCTCTTCCTTTTTTCCATCAAGTCCAAAATCTGTATAATAACAAAAGAGATGGGATAATCACTTCAAAAATTATAGTGATTTTTAAATGGTAATAAGATCATCATGTTTGGTAAATATTTATTGAACCTATGTGACTATAATTTTGGATCACCAAAGGTGATTAAATCACTATTTTAGAAGATAATATAATTATGATATAAAGTGGTAAAAATCTTTCATATGAAGGTGAATAATATGTAAATTAATAATAATTAATATTACTCAATTAATATGAGAATTAAAAATATTTCCTCTCAAAATATAATTATTTTATATTATAAATTTTTATATTTTTAAACTAATATTTATTTTAACAAATTCAAAAATCATTTGTATGCTTTCTTTTGATTTCTTTTAAATTTTATATACAGAATATAATCTTTTGTTTTTCTTGTGTTATGATTTTAAAAGATTAATTTTACTTTCTAATTCAATTTTTTTACATAATTTATATTATAAAAATTAGTTTATCTATCATTAAATATATTTATTAATTTAATAATTTAATTATATTCTATTATGAAATAAATAAAATTTTACAAATTATTATTTTTAAACAATATTAAAGTCATTAACTTGTTTAACTACTACAATATGTATAGTTTATTTTAATAATTTCACACAAAATAATGTTTGATTTTTAATAATACCAAACACAAATGATTTTTATGTTTTAAAAATCAATAATTATTAACCAAATAAAGTGACTTCAAATCCCAAATAATAAAATCACTTTATTAGTAAGATCACTATAGTGATTATATTATCATGATAATCTTAAAAATAATATCAAATACTATCTAAAAAATTAATTGTTTGAACATCTTATGAGAAATAGTTTTAAATGGGTGGCTTTTTACTCGAAGATCTTGATTTTCTAACAGTTCTAACAAGGTTGATCTGTTACTCAATTTTTTATATTAGGAAAGTTATATTTAGTGACTAGGGGCTACTTGACAAACTGAATAAATTCAATATTGAAAAATTAAATACTGAATTTTCAATTATGAATAATTTAAATACTGAATTTATGATAAAAAAAATTGTTTGATATACTTTTGAAAATAAATATTTAATAGATTTTTTTATAATCTTTTACAAGAGATAGATACAATTTTATAAATATTTTCAATTGATAAAAGTTAAAAAAGAAAGAGTAAATAGTTAATATTTATAAGATTAATGTTATTAAATAATACTTTTTAAAAATAATTAAACTTAATAAATTAAATAGTTAAAAATTATTTAATATTTTCAACACTTTTATAAAAAATCTTTCATTAAGTGATTTTTTAAAAATAATTTATCAAACACATTGAAAAAAAAATCAAAATTTAAATTTTCAATGATTTTATCAAATGCGCTCAAAGTCAGAAAAATACAGTACAGCACATGTTCTATAAGCTCTGTGCGCGGTTTTTAATGCCACAAAATTGTTATCATAAAGTCTTAAATAGTTATAGGTACTCCACCTAAATTTTCTTTGACTGAGTCATATGTTTTTCAATCCATTCACCTTAAAAAATATTAAATATTTTATGATTTTTCATTTAGCTAAATTTTTTTTTTATTTTTTTAAAAGAAAGTATGAAGATCAAATTGTTATTGAATTCTTTTGGTTTAATGTTCCCATAAATATATATATATATATATATATATTGGTTTAGCTACTTATATATTATCTTTATGATATACTAAATATGGAATTTTCAAGCTTTTAACATTCTCATCAACTCATCAATATTACCTCCTTTTTGTTGCTAATTGTAGAGATTTGAATTTAAATTACAAGATATTATCTATTTTAATATGAAAATTTTATAATTTTATCTTATAAAAAAATCTCATAAGTGTAAGTTTAATTTTTTACTTATATATTATAATAAATATTTAAAACATCTTGATATAAAATTAGGATGTCACACTAATAGAATATATATATATATATATATATATTTAGATTTCATTTAGGAGCTTGATTGAAAGACTTTCATGAAAAGTATGGTTTATGATTGGACCTCTCATAAGCTCTGAAATAAACTGTGAATCAATTCAAATTGAAAGACTTTGAATTTTGCTAATTTACTTATATATATATATATATATGTATATTAATAAGGTTGATCTATTACTTATATATATATATATATATATATATTAAGAAAGTTATATTTAGTGACTTAAGAGCCGCTTGATAAACTAAATAAATTCAACCAAGAAAATTAAATACTGAATTTTAATTATTAATAATTTAAATACTTAATTTATAATATAAAAGTTGTTTGGTATACTTTTAAAAATAAATATTTAATAGATATTTTATAATCTTTTATAAAAGATAGATACAGTTTTATAAATATTTTCAATTGGTAAAATTTAAAAAAGAAAGAGTAAATAGGTAATATTATAAGATTAATTTTATTAAATGATATTTTTTAAAAGTAATTTGACTTCATACATTAAATAGTTAAAAACTATTTAGTATTTTTGTTGTAACATATCGGTCCGAAACTTGATCTAAACGTAAAAATTTTAAAAATTTTGAAAAAATAAATTTTATATATCTTTTTAACCATTTTATTTTAATATATCCAATGATGAAATTAATTTTTTTTAGTTTTACATTATGCAAGTGGATCTCTCTTCATTTAGTAAATAATTTTTTATTGAATAATATATAATTTTATTTTAAATTAATTAAAACTAACATATTTATATGTAAAACATATATATTAATATAAATTTTTTAAAAAATAAAAAAAATTATTTTTTATTTTTTAAAAAAGTTAAGGTATGTGATTACTTTACTGTTAAATACAAAGGGATGGAGATAAATTTGAAATACCATTTAGTGGAAATGAGTAAGATTTGTGATTACTGGTTTTGCAAGATTTGTGATTACTGGTTTTCTTTGAAAATTACTTCATATCAAAATAATTAACATTTTAAGTGGGCAAGCAGCTTGGTTTATCAGTAATAAGAGAGGAGGACCTGGCAATTGAGTGATTGAAGAGGATGGAAAGATCTGGTTTCTGATCGAGTGTCGCGGTATTATTCTCTCTAAATCTTTTTGTTTTATTCGTTGTTGGTGGTTTAGTTTATTGTGTTATTGTGAAGAATTTGTTGCTGGGGTGGTTGGTTACTCCTAGGATTTCTGTGTGGATTGAGGGTGTTAAAATGAGGATTGTGTTGTGAAAATGTTCGCAGCATGTGTGGGGGTATGAAAGCCAAAGCAGTGAGGAAATTAATTAGAACTCAAAATGGTGAAATGGTGCTCATCCAGGAAACGAAATTGGTTACCTGTGATCTTTGGAGTTTATGGCCTTTTGGGAATTTCGAGTGGTTTATAGCCCAGCTGATCAAAGTTTAGTGGTTGTTAAGAATTTATTCATCGCGAGGAAGAGTAAATCGACAAGGCACAACAAAGATTTAAATAGTGGTCGGACAATGGTATAGCAGTCATATTTTTGCGGTAGTGTCACCATCTGCCACCGCTTGAAGAAAAAACAAAGAAGAATTTGAATCTCATCTGTAATAAAATATTGCGATTGTAAATTACGGTATAATGTTGAATAGCGGTGGTAACGGTTTACTATTGCCTACTACTCTTTTTTTCATTCAAAAATTTAAGAAAAAATTTTTCATTTGACTTTGGTTAAATACTTAAAATAAAAACAGCAAGCCAAAATATAAATAATAATTTACAAATTCAAAAAAAAAAACTCACAAAACTTAATCTTTCAGATATATCAATTCTCTCAAATTTAACTTTAATAAAGATCAAGCACATATAGTTTAAGGTAAACAATTAATTCAGCACTCAAATTACTTCTTTTTTTTTTTAATTTCCAAATTTGACATGATTTTATACGTTAGGAATTAGATTGAGCTATGGTGCACTGCTAGGAGGGAGAAAGAGTTGTTGGGACTTAAAATAAGAGACAAAAGATGAGAGTGAGACTTGAGGTTGAGAGAGATAAGTAGATAGCACACGTTAAAAAAAAAAAAGAGAGCTGTGAGATAGGGATGAGAATGAAGGTCTAGAAAAAAAAATTATTGAATGCAAAGTGAGAGAATGAAAAGTTGTGTGGGTCTCTGCAACTTAGTCAAGAGGTAGAGAAAGTAGACTTGAAACTATTGTTGTTGAAGATTGCTCTTAACATGGAGGCTGTAAGTTTGACTTATTGTAGGTTCATAAAAAGTAATTCTCTTGACCCATAAATAATAATGTTCTTAATTATTTTATGGATGTCTAATAACTTATTAGTTGATTTATGCATAATATAGTTCTGTAATAATTTGATAAGTACAGTAATTAAATAATTAAATATATAATTCGTTATGATTATTTATTTTTTATATATTTATTTATCTCTTATTATTTTTTAATTATCATATGAGTAATTTTTTAAATATTAAAATTTTACTATAAATATATTTTTCTTAAATAAATAAAACACATGACATGATATAAATTACTTTAAAAATCATAAAATAAGAGTTTTTATGATTAATAATTAAAATTACTATATTTTATAGCAAGTTGAGTAAAATTTAAAAAAAAAAATTCATGATCGTGATAGCCGCATTGATCGCGAAAGTTTTCATTATATCCGCAACCATGATAAACGTGACACAACAAAAAACGTGACTGATACCGCAATTTAAATGCTTGAGGCACAACTTCAAGTGCTATATTGTTGGGTTGATTATAGTATGGGATAAGGACATTTTCACTAAAAGCTGTCAAGATGTATGAGAAATAGTGAATTGTTAAAAGGAATCGGAAGGTTTATCATTTTGAGTGGGTGGCGATTAGTGTCTGTGCTCCGTGTAGTGTGAGTGACAAGAACAACTTATGGGGGGAGTGGATGGAGGCGAAAAGAAGTAATGAAGGGAACTGGTGCCTTGTTGGAGATTTTAATTTACCTTTGGCTAGCTGGGGATTATTGGTGATGGGTCAAATATATTATTTTGGCTTGATAAATGGCTGGGTGATGGGACTCTAAAAGATAGGTTTTTCAAAGCTATTTTCAGTGGCTTTAAAGCAAAGATGGTAAAGTGGTGGAGATGGTGAATCAAGATGGGATTGGATTTTTCAATTTAAGAGGTAAGCAGTAGTGTCTCTGTTAGGCTATAGGAAAGACCGCTAGTGTGGGAAGCTGATAAAAGTAGATGCTTCTCTGTTAAAAGACTAAGTGCTGCCTTGGGACCACACAACCAAAGGTGTTCCTTTCTATGTTGATCAGTTCTTGTGCTTGTGGTGTATTTTGTATAATTAAAATTGCCTTCATTTTTTGTGCTGCTGTGATGTATTATGGAAGATTTGGTTATCAGTTTTGAGTGGTGTGGGCTGTTATGGGTGATTTCTAATTCTATTAATGACTTTGTTTTACAATGTCAAAGGGTTCTCTTTTTTTATTTTTTTTTATTTTTGAGTAATCAAAGAAAGATGGCTAATGGTTTGAGGTGCAACGAGGTGGTTTTTACAGGCTATCAAGTATGAAATAGTATTTGAGGGGAAAATGAGAAAAATGAGGAGATTCTACTAGCTAGCAATATGCAGACAAGTGCTCAAGATAGATGAAATTCATAGTTAGTAATTGAAAAATAAATATTACCTGGAAAATCTCCGTCAGGAAATGCAGTCCTTTGAAGCAATTCCCAACCGTCTTTTTCTTCTAAACACTTCAATACAAGAAGGTAACGTACTCCACCTGCGTCTGAAGCTACCTGTGTATTGCGCGAGGTGAGCAATATCTTGCTACTTGTCTTGCTCTCTTTCCATGGGAACGCAGCTTTTAAACTATCCCAAGCTTCAATGCTCCAGATATCGTCAAATATTACCAGGCATTTGTTATGCTCCAAGAAGTTACACAACTCCTTGGCTAAATCTTCATGACCAGACTCGTTGTCCGTTTCATTCCTCCTCCTCACCAAGCTTGGTACCTGTTAAAAGAATCAAGTAATATCATGTAATATTCTATAATTATGAAGTGAGACCTAACTATTAAGGGTTACGATAATGTAATAAAAATAATATTGAGAATTACTATGCGATTAAAATTTCGCATGAGATTATTTCTATAATTAGTGAGAGTCCTTTATATAAATATAATATAATGTTTGGTATAGAGTGCTTACTCCAAAAAAATATAGTGATTTATACATTATGTTTAAATTATTATGTTTGATAGTATACATTATGCTTAAATTATTATGTTTGATAGGTATTCGATGATCTTAAGCAACGATGATTTTGAATATTTAAAATTAATATTTATTATTACAAGTTCAAAAGTATTTTGTGTTTTTTTAATATATTTTATATATAACATAACATTTTGTTTTTCTCTTATTATGAATTTAATATATTAGTTTTATTCTTTAATTCAAATATTTTTTTCACATAATTTATACTATAAAAATTAATTTACATATTAATAAATATATTTATTAATTTAATATATTTTATTATAAAATAAATAAAATATTATTAATATTTTATAAATTATTCTCTTTTAACAGCATTAATTATTAATTTATACAAGTATTACATATTATTTTCATATTTTTAAATAAAATAATATTTTATTTTTAATTATATTAATCACAGTAATTTTTAATTCTTAAAAATTAATAATTGTTAACCAAAAAATGATTTTAATTCACAATAATAAAATTACCTTAATAATAAAATTATCTCAACGATTGTATTACTATATTAACCATATTAAAGACACCAAACACTACCTAAAAGTCCTTCAGACTCTTTCATAAGGTCAGGCCAAACTACATATTTTTGTATTATTGTGTTATCGGTTTTTCTCATATTCATTTTCATTCATACAAAACAAATATTTAAAATTTAACGCTACCTTTGCAAATTTTTCATCCCTGTTCTTGTCCTCCTTTAACGTCTTTTTACAGCTGGATAGAATTTCTTTCCATACAGCCTTTTTTCGGAATTGCTGAGAAACATAGACCCAAGCAAAGTGATTAAAATGATCTCGAACCTGGCTATGATTGTAAACCTTTTTAGCAAGAGTGGTCTTGCCCAAGCCACCCATGCCACATATAGCCACAATCTGATGACTATTTTCCTCATCATCGACAACAACAGAGACCAATTCCTTAATTTCATTGTTGAAGCCAACAATGTTATGTTCCATAATATGAGGATAAGGCCGCCTTGACTCTCGCCTGACATTAGAATAACTTGAACCTTCTCTGTCTCTTAATTCTTTGATGCCATAAGTCTGCAATCGTCGTGTTAAGTCAGTGATTCTTGCTATGATCTTCTCTATCTTTGACCTGGTTTGGTGGAGCAACCGTCCCTCTTTCAAGATGCAAGCATATCTTTTGATGGCATTGGAGAAACCTCCTTTCCTTCTGGATCCAATTTTGAGAGCGAAAGCCTCGACCACGTCCTCAGCATCATAAGCAAGTTCTCTAATTTCAGAAACCCACATTCGTATCCTTTCATCCTCACCTTGTCGCGCATCTGCATCTTTTAAACTCAAGAAGCTTTGCATCCATCTCAGCTCCGTTTGCAACCGCTCAACTTGCTCCTCCACGCCCCACAAGAACTTCGCTTCTTCAGTCAGCAAATCACCAATCCTCGAGGTAGCAGAGGATAAAGCAGACAAAGCCATGTCGCTCAATTTCTTTTTGGTGACCAAAGACAATCTTTTTTTTTTCTTTTTGTATTCGATATTTGTAACATTGGTTACTTCCATTATATATATTGGTCATGGTTGTAATCGTAGAATTCTTGATTACTTGTGCACTGAAAAAGTCCCTTAGAATTGGATTCTTACCCAATCAGTTAGGCAACTGATTTTGAAGGAAGCCAAAGAAGCAAGAAATAAATTGACGGAGAACCGAGCTGAGCTTTAATTTAATTGTTTATGCAATCACAGTTAATATTTAATAAATTTGACATGCAAATTCTTATTCTCGTCCTGGTAAGTACTTCAAAAAAAATTAATGTAATCCACTCTTTATTTTTTATTTTACCATCCTTTACAACCAGTTTAAGAAAAGAATTAAAGAGGAATAAGTAAAACCAAAGTCACTCTTTTTCCCTTTATAAGAGAAAAGGAAAAGTTATGAGGATTTGAAGCTTTTCTATACCCCCATTGCTTACCAAAGAAATAAAGATAATTGAGCGAGTCGGTTTTCTTTATTAAACATATAGGATTTATATTTAATTAGATATTAATTTATCTACAAAAGAAAAGAAAGAAAGATATATAAAGGGAAAAAAACAGATCACTTTCAAAACAAGATAAAAAATAAATAAAAATATAATCTAATATATATATATATATTATATTACAAAATATATGGATGCCTGATAAGATATGTCATGTGGATGCTTACTTAGATAACTTATATTTTTTACATCTAAGATAATAATTTAATTTAAATTTTTAACCAAATAATCCCATTCAATAAATATTTCACTTTAAAAAATATTTGAAAGTTTAAAAATTAGAATAATTTTAATATTTCAAGAGTTTTATTTTAATTTAAATCAGAAAAACTTATCCCAAACTCACTTTTTTCAAATACATTTAGAATAAAATCAATAATTTTGTTATTTTTTTTAAATGAACTATTAAACCATCTATATATCTCTTTTTAAATTTAAAAAGAATTATATAATTTAAATATATCTCTAACAATCTAGATATATGATCTCTTTTAAAATATATATAATTTAAATATATCTTTAACAATCTAGATATATCTATTTTAAATTTAAAAATTTTAAATATAAATTTATTTTTATAAATTTTCTAATAAATTTTAAAAGACTGAATATTATTTATTTTACTATTTAATAGATGCCATCTTCCATCTTGATGAAATATTCTTTGTGCTGAATTTCTACTATTACTCATTTAGTCTATCAATTGTACATACCTATGGTATTAGTGTAATTGTATCAAATAAAATATCATCTTCATTTTTTTCATTCACTATCAATTGCATATATTCTTTTTTATTTTGAGAAATTATTATATTGATTCTTAAGAACTGTTTAATAGTTGAAAGGGATGTTAATTACAAAACACCCAACCCACAGCTTTGAGTGTTTTTGTTGGCAATTGATATTCCCTCTAAAAAAATACCAGTGTGACTTTTTACCAATTTCATTCTACTTGCTCAATAATTATAGTTTTGCCATTAATCTGTGATATTTTTGCGTTACAATGGCCTTTTTCTAGTACTTACTTTCAAGAATAATAAGTCCTATATTAAGTTAAAAGAATTGAAATTTTAAAATTGAGCGTCTCATCAAGTAGAACAATAGTTTTGTCAGATAAAAATTAATTAAAAATTATAATGGCAATATTTAAATACTGCATTTTATTTAACTAAACTATTGTAAAAAGTAGAAATTGAGATATGTTCATTTTGATGTTAAAACTTAAAATGCATTTGATCTTTACAATGTAATAATAAAATAATCTTACGGAGTTTTCTTTGTTTGTTATGTATTACTAACTATTGTATCCATGAAATGCAGTAGTGGAAAGATTGAGTTGGGGTACAAGTAAGAAAATAAACTATGAAAATGATATAATATTGCTTACTTTTATTTATTGAAAATATTAATCTTTATAAGATGATAAGTATATATGCTTTGTTACTAAACTTTATCATCTTATATTAATAATTTAACATTGAGATGGAGATGAAAAAAAAATTTATAAGGCTTTTCAAGATAATTATCTATAGTATCTACAACTTTTTTACTTTTTGAATCAAATTGTTCAAATAATAAAAAAATATTATTTTCTATAATTTTGTAATATAAGAATTTTTTTCATCAAATACAAATATTCAAATATAAAAGATAAAATAATTAAAGTGAAAATAAAATTATATTATGAATGATAATTTAATTAATTTATACTTCATTATATTTTTAAGCATTATCCAATTTATATCCTTAAGCCTAGGGAAATGTTTATTTTTCAAAACTTTCCATCATTTTGTAAATTTAAATGCATTATTTTCAAGTTTAAAAATGATAATTACACAAAATTTAAAAGTTGTTTATGAAGAGATCGATCATCCATTTCCACTTAAAAATTTCAAAAAAAAAGAAATTTAATATTTTGAATAATACATTTATATTTTGTTCATATGTTTGTTTAAAATCTAATATCATTTTATAATTATAATTTTAAATTAAATAAATTAATTAATTCATGCATTGTACGGATCACAAGCTAATTAATTCAATATTTGGCAAAGCAAAATATCCAAAATAGTATCCAAATTAAAAAAAATGACATACTCATATAACGTTTTACTTTTTTATTATTTTTTATTTGTCACTTAAAAATAAAAGGAAGGAGAAAACAAATCCTAAAACTTTAAAATTTTGGGATTTAAATTCTTGCACCTACAACTTTGTTACCTATTTTCAGATTGATGTTTACTTCATAAAAAAATTGATGGAATCCACTTTTTTTCTCTTTTACCATCTTTTCTGATCAGTTTACGCAAAAAATTATAGAGGAAGAAGTAAAACAAGGGTAGTTTTTTTCCACTTATAAGAGAAAAGGAAAAGTTATGAGGATTTGAAACTCTCCTCATGGGTAAAAGCAAATTGCGTCCTACATACCCATTGCTTACGAAAAAGAAAGGTAATTAAGAGAGTCAGTTTTCTTTATTAAACATATAGGATTTATATTTAATTAGATATTAATTTCATCTACACAAGGAAAGAAAGAAAGATAAAGGGAAAAAAAACATATCACTTCCAAATCAAAATTAAAAAAATAATTAGTGTGATATTTGAAAAAGCAAAATATTTGAAATATTATCCAAATTAAGTAAAATGACATACACGATTTAGTTTTTTAGTTTTTTATTTTTCTCTTAAAAATAATAGGAAAGAGAAAATAAATCCTCAAACTTCAATAAATTTGGGATTTAAATTCTTGCACCTACAACCTTTCACTTATTTTCAGATTGTGGCGTGCTTCATAAAAAAATTGATGAAATCTACTTTTTTTTTTCTTTTACCATCCTTTATGGTTAGTTTATGTAAATAATTATAGAGGAATAAGTAAAACTAAAATTGTATTTTTCCCCTTATAAGAGAAAAGGAAAAGTTCTGAGGATTTGAAGCTTCCCTTATGGGCAAAACAGATTTTTCGTCCTGCGTACCTGCTGCTTACAAAAGAAATAAAGATAGTTGAGCAAGTCTGTATTTTTTATTAAACATATAGGATTTATATTTAATCAGATATTAGTTTCATCTACAAAAGGAAAGAAAGAAAGATAAAGGGAAAAAACACATCACTTCCAAATCAAAATAAAATTTGTGATTACTTGTTTTCTTTGAAAATTATTACATATCAAAATAATTAACATTTTAAATGGGCAAGCAGCTTGGTTTATCAGTCATAAGAGAGTAGAACCTGAATTAAGAGATTGAAGAGGATGGAAAGATCTGGTTTCTGATCGAGTGTCGCGGTATTATTCTCTCTAAATCTTTTTGTTTTATTCGTTGTTGGTGGTTTAGTTTATTGTGTTATTGTGAAGAATTTATTACTGGGGTGGGTGGTTACTCCTAGGATTTCTGTGTGGATTGAGGGCGTTAAAATGAGGATTGTGTTGTGGAATGTTCGCAGCATGTGTGGGGGTACGAAAGCCAAAGCAGTGAGGAAATTAATTAGAACTCAAAATGGTGAAATGGTGCTCATCCAGGAAACGAAATTGGTTACCTATGATCTTTGGAGTTTATGGCCTTTTGGGAATTTTGAGTGGTTTATAGCCCAGTTGATGGGAGATCAGGGGGCTTAATTACGGTTGAAATTTTAAACTTTATGAACTTAGATTTTCTTTTTAAAAAAATTCATAAACAATCCTTTCTACTTTGCCGATTTCTAATTATACAATACAAACAGCCTTACTACCTTCTTAAGTTTCTTCTCGAATTGATAAGATTAATGGCAATTTTTTATTAAGTATAAAAGGGGAGACAAGAAAGTTTGTTCACTTTATAGAAGGGAACATATTAAGTGCAGGGCTCATCTTCGGATGGGTCTTGGGCCAGAGTTTTGATATTTTGGATTTGGACATGGACACTAACCTTTTAATCAATTGAAGTCTAGCTGTTTTCCTTTTTGTATGTGTGTTCTGTCTTACAAGGAAAAATCCAACAGCCCAAAGTTTGGATTTAATTGGACAACGAAAAGGTCAACGATTGAATTAAACGGATTGTCTAACGTGGTAATTTAAAATAAAAAATGAAAATGTAATATGAATTTGATAAAAAAAAATTATGTTTAATATATTTATATAAATTATGATATGATAATTTTATATTTTATATATATTTAATATAAAATAAATAAATACGAATATATAAATTATCCAAAGATATTAAGAAAAATTAAGAACCAATAATCCATTTTATCCAAAAATATTTTAGAGTATCAGTACATAAAGAAGTGAGCTTTGATGTGTTTCCTTTTTCCAAGCTATTGTCCCGATCCAAAGATACTATTAAAATTGCTTAATGATGTTTAATAGAAAAATCATACTTGTAATAATTTTAAAAGATCTTGGATTCAAATGGAACAATGAAAAGCTAACAACTAAAAGGATATTAAACAATTAAGAAGCAACAACGAGTTTTATCCCAAAAATGGATCATTGGTACACCATTGTTGCAGAGGAAGTGAGCTTTGATCATAAAACTGTGCGCCTTTGCCTAAATGTTATCCATATTCAAAGCTGCCATTAAAAAGTGAGGAAACATTGATGGCTGAATCTATCAATGAGGTTACAAAAAGTCAGAAAAGATAGACGGCAATTGTCATAAAGCCATGTGCATGCCATGCCCTCACAAAAAGCTATATGCCTGGATGCCAATCTTAAGATATAATTGAATCACAAGATAAGATGCAAAGAATGATGCTTTTTGAACGGTGTGAAAATTTCAGAGTTTCTCAAAGAAACATAACTCCCCAATTTGGGAACTTCTACCATCTCTAATAAAAGAGCATCTATCCTCCTCTTCTCCATCCCCATTTCCAGCATCTTCTTCATTCTGTATTTATGCAGGCATGCTGCTTTAACGTGAGAAATCAGAGCTTTGGTCAATTTAGCAAATGATGCATGCAAAAGGCAGTTATGAGGAGACTGATGGCAGCAACACTTCATTCTTTGGAATGGGTGGCATTGGGAAAGTTGTTCTTTACCTTCTACATGGAAAAAAAAGAGCTGGGAGTTGTTCTGCAACGACAAAACCTAGTTGTTTCTAGTTAACGTAAGAAGATAGTGACAGAAAACTCCAAAAACCTTGAGCTAGTTTGCCTATGGTCATAACAATCTAAAAAGGTTAAACATTTGCACAAGGATATGAGAAGTAATCAAGTAAGAAATTAAGTTACATATGTCGTACTACCATGTTTAACATATGTAGATAGGGGGGATTATGCCAAATATTTTATGAACAGTGTTTTTTTCTTTGTTAGTTTAGACTTGTAGTTTTATATCAAGTATGGGAAACTTAATCCAGATTTGCATGCCAAAATGGAAGTTCATTGAAGGTTCTAGTAATGTGGGTAGAGGAAAGCGGAAAGCAGTTCATTCAAGGACTAGGGATATCTATGATTCCTGGTACTTGAAGCAAAAATGGTGAAATAAAGAGAAATTAACTATCAATTTTGCATCATATGAAACTTCACAGATCGGTCTAAAGATTATAGTAACCTCAATTGTATAATATATGCAAACAGAAGTGCTCTGCAGATGACATATTCCAAGTTTTCTGGTCAGAGATTAAAATTCTACACTTTAGACTAGGAGATTTTATAACTGATTTCAATCATTAGAAAGTTTAATTTCTTGTTAAAGCTAGATGTTCTGCAAAAGACAGATTGATTATTTCAATAATCAGTTTAAAGTTTTCTCAGCTTGCTGATCAGAGATAAATATGTTCATGCATAACTGGATGAGCTAAAAACGCAATACTATGCAATAGCTGCATATTGAATAACAACGTGCATGCGAAATTGTACCAGGAAACAGTATCACAACATTGTTAGGAAGAGGCAACTGGAATGCTCACTTATATAATGACATGAGAAGGCATAAGTGAATAATGGAAAGCTAAAATATAGAACATTAGCAATAAACAATCTCCAAGACTTTTTACCAGGAACCGATGTATTTAGTACTAAATCAAATTCCAAAACGTTACACGAAACTGTTTTGACAAGTTAGAAGCACGCAAAAATCTGCAGGAAGCAAATGGGAACTGGAGGAAATATTTCCAGAAAGCTTAGATGCATAGTTTTTCCTATTGAACTTTATTCAGAAAAAGTAGGTTCATATACTTCCAACAAAATAAATAAACAGAGGACTTTGTTACCAAAAGTTTTGACTTTTAAAATTCACAGGTTTCCAACCAGTATTCAGTTTCACTGCCTGTTTTCACCATTTGTTTCCCCCTTCAGGTTTCGTATTTCATCATAAATTATAATCCCAAGAATCCATGCTTCCCTATCTCATCTCATCCATTCTATTTCTTTCCCTATTAGGTGAATATTGATTATTCAGAACTGCCTCCAAAATGACTCTTACTAAATAACAGTAAAATTGTACATATGTTTCTTGCAACCTCTTGAAAAAAAAAAAAAAAAACCAGAATAATACAGAAGTGAAAGGGAAATTGGACATGCTTCAATATGCAATACTCCATGTAAGAAGAATCAATTTGAGGGAAGGTCAGATTATTTTCTTCGATAGTTGCTATTAATTACAGCATCATTGAAATAGACTCACCTGAAGAATTGACTAGTGATAGTATTATCCTAAACACCATGAAGTTCCATAATTTAGCATGTTTTCTGTGTGTTTATATGTGAACATACAGATTGTTGTTAAAAATATATAGGTATCAAACAGTCATTCCATGGATGTAATGCTTCATTTCAGAATAGTGAAAATATTTACTAGATCAAATAATGAGTCATCAACATCATGTTCTTTCTAAATAACATAAACAGCAGTGCGACCTACTGGCTTCTTGTTCAAGACCTTTTTTCCAAAATCACTCAGAAAGAAGCAAAAACAAGGCATACACGAGGCTCTTGCAAGGATGTGCGGCAGGAATAATAAGCACCAAAATCCCTAGCAGCATGACCCCTTCTCTAGCCCCCTTGTTGAACTTTGGTTTCGGTTATTATATGGAACACATAACCTGTGTGTATCAGGACCTGCTACCATATCATGCCAAAGCAGATCAGAGAGTGCCATTGTCAAATCTCCCACTTTTCCTGCAACAAAGAAAAATAATCATGCCTTGGTAAAAACATAGGAGCTAATCCATAGTCACTTAGCCAAAAATCTGAACGAGACTATTCAGGCCAGGAAACAGAATTTTGACATGGGATTTTTGTCATATATTGTTTTAGATTATCGAAAATTACCTTACAATATTCTTAGTGATAATTATGGACATTACAACTTTGAAATTAAATAAAATAAGAAACAATGTCAAACCATATCCCATGTCAACAACAATCCATACAATATATAGAAGATACCAGACGATTTCCACAGTTGTTTATTGTTGAAACAAATTTACTTGGTCCTCTTATGAAGAGCATGTGAAGAAATGCAAGGAGCCTTCTTTTCCCAAAAGGAAAAAGTGAATATGTATATATATATATATATGTGTGTCACGAAAATAGCTGAAATTTTGTGTAAGATCCCAATGGAACTTGATTTGATTGTTGAATACAGCATGTTGAAATTCTTTCAGACAAAAACTCAGTCTTGCAACAAAAACATAATAATGCAAATAAAAAATTTTAGTGATAAGAATTCAAATCCTAACAAGATCAAATCAGAAAGAGAACCCAATGCAAGGAAAAAGAAACAAAAAATCAAGATTCAGCATAAGAGAACTACTGATTTATGCTCAAGGTCTAAGGCATTAAAATTTAGGATAACAAAAATGAGATGATTATCTTTGATCTCTATTTGCCTCTTAATTATATTATATCATAAACTTATAAAGTTAACCATGATCAAGATACAAATTTAGCTTCCAAAACTCAATCTTTAACCAAAAGATTATCGAATATATACATCCAAAATCGAAATACAGCAGCTGTTAGTCATGGTTTAAGAAAGCTAGTTGGAAAAGGGTTCCATTTTTCCTTATGTTGATGCATCTGAATCCATCCACAATACTCAATTTCTTTTCCCTGCAAAAAAGAGTATCAATTCCACTACATTGCGCAAAGCTTTAGCCTTTTTTTTTTTCTTTTTATTTAGATACAGATAAAAATACATGCACCTATCATTAATTCGAATACTTGCATGCCTTGCATCATTCTAGCTAATAGAAGTTAAATAAATGCAACATTTTGTAATTACAAAGAATAATCAATTTTCCAAAATAACATTATACTATAAAAAAAAGGACTTTGATGTAGTGTAGATGTCATTTTTTCTAGCATGTAATAATTGAGAATTGAGATAGAATGTCATATTTCTAGCAGAAATTAAAGAAAATAACAGAATGTAGAATGAATTTACAATTCTTTGCAAGAGAACAACATACACTCTGGCTTTGCTATCCAAAAATATAATAATTATGCTAACAGTGAAATATTAACAGATAATAAATATTAGTTTTGTCCCAACTGGATATTTACTTAAGAGTAACCATTTATACCCATGAATGTACTTAATCAGAAGTTAGATTTTTTATTCAAAAACAGAGTATCAATTTCACACATTTTTGTAACTAAAATGATACGCAAAAGCAAAAGAGTTGTAATTACAAAGAACAAGCAATTTCTAAAACAGAGATAACAAAGTTACCTGACAAGCATCGTTATATCCCATCTCAATTTTGAAATATGATAGAAGGAACGTGTTGGATTTTGTAGAAATCTTCTCCTCCTTCCACAACTTTATCTTTGAATGCCTTTGGCATCCAATTAATCTTCAATTCCTGGAGTGTTGTAATGAACCTCAATCCAGCTGGAAGCATCTTTAGTTTTAAGCAGCCATTGATCTCCAAATCGCGTAGAGCAGGCATGGCTCCTTCATTCACCTTCCACTCCTCCAAATTGTAAATCCGACCAAGGCATAGAGAATCAAGTTTAGCAAAACATTGTGCAGAGCAAACCATTTCCTTTCCAATGAAAGCTTCATCATCGAATTGGAGAATCCTTAAGTTAGGCAGCTTCCCTAGTGTTGGCATTGGATCTTCATCAAGTTCACACCGAGATAAGTATATGTAAGCAATATTTGAAGAGAAATGGTGGTGCTCTGGTAACTTCCCTATACTTAGAACTAAACTCAACTCATAGATATTAGCACAATCGGAGAGGAGGCGTGTCAAATGCCTTGGATCAATTCTTTCATAACTCCTAATAAATAAGGACCGAAGAGTAGTATTAGTTCCAAGTATAGGAGGAATATTCTCACCCAAATCCTCAAAATCTTCAACATTGAATGGTCCAAATATCTTCAACTTTCTAAGACTTATCATGTTGAGAAGATCTCCAATATAACAATTCCTCGTGTTGAAGTTCACAAGTGTTAAAAGGTTTCTCAAAGTACACAACTTCAACTTGGTTTCGGGGTCACAATGCTTGGGGAGATATAGATGTCTTAATTGTTTCATCCTCCATATAACATTAGGTACATGAACAGGTCTACCAAAGGTTCCGTTTAGCCTCATAAATCTATTAACTCTTAGATCTAAGGTTTGCAAACATCTTAAGTTGCCTAGAGATGATGGCAACTTTGAGATATAGAATTCCAAACCCTTTAAACTCAGGAACCTCAAGTGGATTAGATTACCTATATCACTTGATAAATTCACTCCCGCATCACATATTTTCCTCTCAAAATATAGGACTCTGAGCAATGTGAAATTGTTGAACATGTATGCCCAAGATCTCCACAACATATATTGTAGCCGAAATATGAAGATACGGGAAACTAGGTTAACGTTCCCATCCTTTATATGTTCATAAATGTAATTCACCATCTTTAACATCTTTGGATTCGTAAGTGCTTTAATTTCCTTGGAAGACCTGATCTCAAAGAAGAACAAAAGTGATCTAAGATGGAGACTTTTAATGCATTGGAGTCGAGGAAATACATGTGCACTAATCCTGTGGACACCACGAATCGTAGATGAGAAAGAATTAGTGCAACATTGATTTTTACTTGAGTGATCAATGACGTAGAGAAAATTTTCTTGTTTGGCCTTTGACAAGCAGAGATCTCTCATGAGATCATGCATGCGACAAGTTATAATCTTTAACAATGCATCTCTTTTTCCTACTTGAATCATGCATCTTTCTACAAGCTCAATTAAGTAACCTTCTGCCACATCTTCTATAACTCCATTTCCTTCATTATGCTTTGACGATGAAACAATACCTTCTGCCACCCATAATTGAATCAATCTATCTGCAGCAATCTCATAATCTTCAGGAAAATGACTTAAGTAAAGGAAACATGGTCTTAAATAGGGTGGCAGATCCTCATAACTCAATTCCAACACATCATCAATTCCTTGGCCTTTGCCACTCTTCAAGTATGACTTGACATTTTCAGACACCATTTGCCATTCATTTAATGAATTCTTTGCAGCCAAAATTGCTCCCAACACAATGATGGCTAAGGGCAGCCCTGCACAATGTCTAACCATGTCCTTCCCTAACACTTCCATTTTCGGATCAACTCCATTTCCTGTAGAACAACTTAAAATAATTTAATCAGTATTGCATCATTTCAACTTAGTTGGTATAAATAGTAAGTTTATATTTTTCCTTGTGCACAGGTCATTGGCAGTTGCCTTATTGAAATTCTAAACAAATATCGACAAAATTTAAAGGATACAAAAGCAATAGAAAATATGTTCGATAGTTAAAGTATTAGTTACAAAAAAGATGGCAGAGGAAACAAGACAGTTAAAAACGCATTACGTCTATCAAAGTTCAAATAAGATGATGTAAATCCTAGTTTTGCCCATAATTGAAAAACAATTGTTGCCAGTCTTTCAAGATATTAAAACATAATAACCATAATTTCACAATTCACAAAGAGAAATGATTTTCTATTTGATGCAAATGATATGAGATGAAGTAAAGCGAAATGAACCCCACAGGTGTAATTTTCAGCAAAAGATATATATATATATATATATATATATATTATTTACCTGAAGAATCTCTGTCGGGAAATGCAATTTTCTGAAACAATTCCCAACTGTTTTCTTCATTTAAATACTCCAATTCATACAGGTAACCTCTTCTATCTACGTGTGAAGCTACCTCTTTGTTGCGGGAAGTGAGCAATATCTTGCTACTTGTCTCCCTCAGTGGGAACGCAGCTTTTATGGTATCCCAAGCCTGAATGCTCCAGAGATCATCAATTATCACCAAACATTTTTTATCCTTCAAGAAGCTAAACAACTTCTCTACTAAATCTTCATCCCTCTTATCTCTGTCCTCCTTATCCATAATACCAAGACCAGATAAAATGTCAACCCAAACTTTTCTTCTCTGGCATTGTTGAGAGACATAGACCCAAGCCAAGCGATTGAAATGACCTCTCACCAGGCTGTGGTGGTAAACCATTTTAGCAAGAGTAGTCTTACCTAGACCACCCATTCCACATATGGAAACAACCCGGTAACTCCTTCCGGTCTCATCAGTAACAACCGAGACCAATTCCTTAATTTTTTCACTGAATCCAACAATATTATCTTCAACAACATGGGGATAAGACCGCCTCCACTCCTGCTTTTCATGGGAATAACTTAATCCTTCTCCATTACTTAATTCCTTTATGCCATACGTTTGCAAGCGTCGCGTCAGTTCAGTGATTTTGGTTATGATTTCCTCCATCTCCGACCCGATTTTGTGAAGCATCCATCCTTCTTTCAGGATACAAGCAGATCTTTTGACGACATTAAAACAACCTCCTTTCCTTTTGGACCCGATCCTCAGAACAAAAGTCTCGACAACATCCTCAGCATCATAAGCAAGATCTCTGATTTCAGAGACCCAAAGACGAATCCTTTCGCTCTCACCCTGTCTTTTATCAGCATCAATTAAGAAGCATTGCATCCATCTCAGCTCCCTTTGCAAACGATCAACTTGCTCCTCTACACCCCATAGGGATGTTGCCTCTTGAGCTATCAAATCGCTAATTCTTAGGAGAACAGATGAGACAGCAGACCAAGCCATGTAAATCTTGAGAAAAGGAAAAAAAAAGAAAACTTTGCTTTGTATGGTTTGATTAACAATGGTGAATGAGTTGTCTCACTATATCTCTTAAGTTGTAACAGGTGAAAACTGAGCAAAGCTTTTACCAAAAGAAACAGAGAAAAAGTGCGGAGTAAACGCGTTCAAACATTGTATTCATATTAAATTTGAAAGTTCAAGGAAAGTTGTGGGAAAAAGAGTAAGGATAGAGACAAAATTTGAATAAATTAATCTTGGAAAGTAGAGTTACAATATGGAGATAGTGGAAGACCAAGAAATCATGACCAGTCATCTTTATCTTTCGGTCAAAATCTGCCGGATCTATGTACTAGACGGAATTTAGTTACTGTACTACAATTTATAGAAATTTAATTTTCATATTATTTTAATTTAATAATTTTAATTTAATTACTAATTTTGTTAAAATTTTGTCCTACAAACGTTGACGAAATTGTTGACTATAACGACGTGACGTTGATTTTATTGACATAATATTAATTTATTAACGTGATAATTTGAATGAATGAAATAAATTATTAAATTATAAAAAGAATTTTTATATTTATGTGTAAATTACAATTTAATTTTTATATTTATATAAAATTTAAAATTTAATTTTTATATGAATATAAAAATTAAAATTTTATTATTTTAATATAAATTTTTTTATTTTTTTAAAAATATTAAATTTTAAAAATATTTTAATTCATCTAATATAAAATATTTCTTGAAATATATTAATTTTTTTTATATATAATTAATTTATAATATCATATTAATACTAATAATACTATTATCATTTATATTAATCAATTAAAATATTAATAATTTAAATTAATATATCAAAGCTAATATTAATTTAAATATATCGTATAATAAGATTTATATGAATCAAATTATTAAATAGAGTTGCATTTGTGATGAATTTAAAATAGATCATGAATAAAATGTTCATTCCATCCAATCAAATAAAATAAAAAATTCAAACATATAAATTTTTATTAAGGATGAATTCCTATTCATTTGAAAGATAAACTTTAAATCTTAATAAAATAAAATAAAAAAGAAATAATTTATTTGATAAACCAAAACATCATTATTATGTATCATAATAAGAACTAATTTTTTTGGGTCTTCACAAAAAAAAAATTATCTAAATAATTATGTTAAAATAAATAATACTATTAATTTTAAAATTAATACACATTAAGTTTAGTAAATTACTTCAAGTTATTTAGAATCTTTAAACTAGATTTGATTATAAAAATCATTTAAATAAGGTTTGATTTAAAGGAATAAGAACACTGTTTCATAAATAATTTTACATTTATGAGATATAATTATAATTATAATTTATTTAATAAATTAATAAAAATTTTATAGTTTATTAAAATTAAATAATGACAAATTTTGTATCGTATATTAGCAAATTTATGATAGATTTTTAATAGATTGGTATAAGATTTTTTCATATGAACATAATATATTACAATTTATGATAGACAAGTGTAACAAAATTAATAATAAATTTATATTTTATGAAGGAATGTAACATAAAATAATGACAAAATTAGTAATAATATTTTATAAAAGTTAAAAAAAAATTGTGATAGATTTAATGACAATATATAAAAATTGTGAAAGAATATTGTAATAAAATTTTCATTATCGTTATAAAATATTATAAAAGAATAATGTGGTAATTTTTAAAATTTAATATTTCAAAAACTAGAAATTTAAAAATTCAAAATATTTTTTGTATCAAAGAGACTAAATTTTAAATTTTGTATGAGTATAAAAATTAAATTTTAAATTTTATATAAATACAGATATTATTTACATAATTTAATAATTAATTTTACCAATCTCAATTATCATGCCAATAAATCAACGTCATGTTAGTCAAGTCAAATTAAATTTATATGAGTTATAATACGAGGATTAAATTCCTAATTTTCATAAAGAACCTCTTATACATTTTGACCTTATTTTTCTTCAAATTGAACCATTAAGATTGGGTGTAATGATTTAGTCATTGTGTACTTCTTACTGGTGCAATACCTGTTTTTCTACCAACTATGGTTTAAAGCTTTTTTTGTCAAATTATGCCGCAGATTCTGTATTATAAGAAACTTTGAAATTTAATTTTTTTTATTATAATTTACATAATTTTAGTCACTTTATTATTTAAATTTAATAATTTTAATCCAAACATAAATTATATCAATTTATTATGTTAAAATTGATAACGTGAATTTTGATTTGTTGACATACACGTAGATCAAACTTATATGGTTGGATGGTTAATTAAAAAGGTTTATAACTCTGACGTGTACAAAATTAATGCCACATGGCAAGCAAATTTCCAACTCCTATTTCAAATTTTGTTTCTTTTATTTTTCCTAAACCACCACAATTTCCTTTAACAAAGGATAAAACTTTTCTTCTTATAACTTAAAAAAAAAAGAAAAAAACCCTAAATCTGTATCCACCTAATTGTAAAACAAAATCTGAAAACGAAACCCACGTTCCTAATCCCATTTCCTAACTAATTGAAGATCCCAAATCCCTAACAGTATGCACCTTAGTCTGATATCCTAAGAGCTAGATACTAGAAACCGAAACCAGAAATCATCGAATATTCTTTATTATTGCTAAATATTTTGGGGTTATTATTACTGAATATTGGGATCTTCAACTGGTTAGGAAATGGGGTTAGGGATTTGGGTTTTATTTTCATATTGTGGTTTACTATTTAGATGGATACAGATTTAAGGGTTTTTTTTTTAAGTTAATTAAGAAAAAAAAAAGTTGGACTATTGGTTAAAGGAAATTATGGTGGTTTAGGAAAAATAAAAGAAACAAATTTTGAAATCTAAGTTGGAAAATTTTTTGCCACATGGCATTATTTTTGTACACGTTAGTATTATAAATTTTTTTAACTAATCATCCAATCATGTAAGCCTGATACACATATATGTTAATAGATTAAAATCTATGTCATCGATTTTAATATTAATAAATTAACATCGTTTATGTTTGAATTAAGATTATTAAATAAAAATAATAAAAAAATTAAATTTATATGAATTACAATAGATTAATTAAACTTTAAGATTTTGAATAATACAAGAATTTGTAGCATAATTTGCCTAAATTATGGTGATTTAGGAAAAATAAAAGAAAAAAAAATTGAAATCTGAGCGGAAATTCTTTTGCCACGTGACGTTAATTTTTTTACACGTTAGCATTATAAATTTTTTTAACCAGTCATCCAATCACGTAAGCTCGAATAATTTACACATCAGCAGGTTTATCGAATTTAACAGTAATAAATTGGCATAATTTATATTTAGACTAAAATTGTTAAATCCAAATAGTAAATGGACTAAATTTTTATGAATTATAATAGAATGATTAAAATTCAAGATTTCGTATAATACAGGAATCTGGCATAATTTGACCTTTTTTTTTTCAGCAAAAAGAAAAAAAAAATGCGATGATTCAAGGTTTTGTTGTTGAGGGAAGAATGATTCTATGCATTTCAAGATAGGATTAAACAAAGATATTACCTAAAGAATCTTTGTCAGAAAAACCCAATCTTTAGAAAGCGTCCCCGGCTTTTTTCACATTTTAAGCACTCCAATTACCTATTCTAACTGCATGTGAAGCTACCTCTTTGCTGTAAAAGGTGAGCAACATCTTGGTACTCGTGTACCTCGCTGGAAAAACATGTTTTATACTATCCCGAGCAGGGATGCTCCAAGTATCATCAAGCATTACCAAACATTTGTTTTCCCTCAAGAAGTTAAACAACTTCTTTGCTAATGCTTCGTCCCTCTTCTTCTCGCCCTCTTCATCCATAGATAGAATGTCTTCACAAACTTTTCTTTTTTATTTTTTTGGCACTGTTGAGAAATGTATACCCAATCCGAGTGATTGAAATGACCTCTAACCTGGCTATGGTGATATGGTTTTCTAGCAACAGTGGTCTTCCCAGACCACCCATTCCACATATAGAAACAACCCTGCTATGACTTTCCTCATCAACAAGAACTGAGACCAATTTCTCGATATCATCATCCAATCCAACAATATTATCTTCGATAACACAAGGATAGGGCCTCCTTGACTCCCGCCTGAAGAACTTGATCCTTCTCTATCCCCTAACTTTGTTCCATCATATGCCATTAGTTGAGGTGTTAACTCTCTGATTCGGGTTGTGATTTTCTCTATCTCTGATTTGGTTTCATGGAGCACCTTTCCCTCTTTCGGGAAGCATAAAACTCTTCGGATACAGGGAAACATATCAAGTTCAGTGTTCCTCTAGGGATTGGTCTTTGGCTAGAGTTTTGATATATTGGATTTGGAGACGTAGACGAACTTTTGAATCACAGTCCATGCTCTTTTCTTTTGTGTGTGTTCTCTTTTACAAGGAAAAGGCTAAAAGCCCAAAGTCCATGCACTAGGATTCAATTTTGTAACTTTATGAACCCTGAAGTAGACTTGACAATTCCAAAAAAGATTGACCGTCTAAAAAATTTTAATAAAAGTAAATGTGTTTGATAAAAATTAAAAAATATATTTTATATTTAATATGTTGATACAAATTTGTTATATTTTAATTTTAACATTTTAATATTTAAAATTTTAATAAAAATTAAATGTATTTGACAAAAATTAAGAAATACGTTTTATATTTAGTATGTGAATAGATATCTTAATACAATAATTTTTATATTTTATATTTATTGAATATAAAGTAAAATACATAAATTATCAAATTACTTTAAAATATATACACAGTATGTCTTTCAAGTCAAATCCAGTGACAATATCATATAATCACATTGTAACACATGATGTATAAAACTCTTAAAAGTGGTATGATAGACACTTTAAATGTCATTAACAGTTATTTAAAGCACAAGACTAATCAAGATTGAGGGTTTATTGCAAGATGTTCCATTGATCCCTACCCTCTCTCAATTTTCAATTTTCAAAATGTTTTGTGACATATATTATAGACATTTGTTATATCCCAATAATGGATCATCGGTACACCATTGTTGCAGAGGAAGTGAGCTTTGATCCTAATACTGTTTACCTAACTGTTGTCCCTACCCAAAGCTGCCATTGAAAAGTGAGGAAACATTGATCGATGAATCTATCAATGAGGTTAAAAAATGTCAGAAGAAGATAGCCGGCAATTGTCATAAAGCCATGTGCGTGCCATGCCCTCACAAATGCCATATGCCTGGATGCCAAACTTGAGATATAATTGAATCATAAGATAAGATGAAAAGAAAGAAGCTTTTTAAATTGTGTGAAAAATTTTAGAGAGTTTCTCAAAGAAACATAGCTCGGGAACTTCTACCATCTCTAATAAAAGAGCATCTATCCTCCTCTTCTTCATCCCCACTTCCAGTTTCTTCATTTCTTTATTTGTGGAGGCATGCAGCTGTAAGACGAGAAATCAGAGCTTTGATCAATTTAGCAAATGATGCATGGACGGCAGTTATGAGGAAGCTGGTGGCAGCAACAGTTCATTCTTCGGAATGGGTGGCATTGGGAAATTTGTTCTCTGTCTACTACAAGGTAGAAAAGAGCTGGGAGTTGATCCGCAACGACAAAACCTAGTTGTTTTCTAGTTCATCTAAGAAAGTTACAGATAACTCCAAAAACCTTGTGCTAGTTTGCCTATTGCCATAACGATGTAAAAAGGGTAAACATTTGTACAAGGATACGAGAAGTATTTAAATAAGAAATTGAGTTACCTCTTCCATACTACCATGTTTTTAACATATGTTGATAGCAGGGAGTATGCCAATATTTATGAACTATGGATTTTTTTTCTTTGCTAGGTTAGACTCATAGTCTGATATGCTTAAGTATGGGAGCCTTAATCCAGATTTGTATGCCAAAATGGAATTTCATTGAAGGTTCTAGCGATGTGGGTAGAGGAAAGCAGAAAGCAGTTCATCCAAGGACTAGAGATATCTATGATTCCTTGTACTTGAAGCAAAAATTGTGAAATACTGAGAAATTAACTATCAATTTTGCATCATATCAAACATTACAGATAGGTCTAAAGTCTATTGCAACCTCAATTGTATAATATATGCAAACAGAAGTGCTCTGTAGATGACATATTCCAAGTTTTCTGGTCAGTGATTAAAATTCTACACCATAGACTACGTGATTTTATAACTGATTTCAATCATTAGAAAGTTGAATTTCTTGTTAAAGCTAGATGTTCTGAAAAAATGATTTCAATAATCCGTTTTAAAGTTTTCTCAGCTCGCTGATCAGAGAGAAATATGTTCATGCATAACCGGATGAGCTAAGAATGCAAAAGTATGCAATAGCTGCATACTGAATAACAACGTGCATGCGAAATGTTACCAGGAAACAGCATTACAAGCAATGTTGGGAATAGGCAATTGGAATGCTCAATTCAATAATGACGTTAGAAGGCATAAGTACATAATGGAAAGCGAAAATATAGAATGTTATAGGACGTTAGCAATAAACAATCTCCAATACTTTTTACCAGGAACTAATGTATTAAGTACTAAATCAAATTCCAAAACGTTACATGAAACTGTTTTAACAGGTTAGAAGCATGCAAATATCCGCAGGAAGCAAATGGGAACTAGAGGAAATATTTCCAGAAAACTTAGATGCATAGAAATTCCTATTGAACTTTACTCATAAAAAGTAAATGGACTAGGGTGCATATACTTCCAACAAAATAAATAAACAGAGGACTTTGTTACCAAAAGTTTTGACTTTTAAAATTCACAAGTTTCCCACCAGTATTCAGTTTCACTGCCAGTTTTCACCATTTGTTTCCCTTTCAGGTTTCATATTTCATCATAAATCATAATCCCAAGAATCCATGCTTCCCTATCTTATCATCATCCATTCTATTTCTTTCCCTATTAGGTGAAAAGTGATTATTCAAAACAGCCTCCAAAATGACTCTCACTAAATAACAGTAAAATTGTGCATATGTTTCTAGCAGCTTCTCGATAAAAAAGACAGAATAATACAGAAGTAAAAGGGAAATTAGACATGCTTCAATATGCAATACTCCATGTAAGAAGAATCAATATGAGGGAAGGTCAGATTATTTTCTTCGCTAGTTGCTATTAGTTACAGCATCATTGAATTAGACTCACATGAAGAATTGACTAGTATCATCCTAAACACCATGAAGTTACACAATTTAGCATGTTTTCTGTGTGTGTGTGTATGTGAACTTATAGATTGTTGTCAATAATATATAGGTATCAAAGAGTCGTTCCAGGTATGTAATGCTTCAATTCAGGATAGTGAAAATATTTACTATATCAAATAATGAGTCATCAACATTATGCTCTTGCAAAATAACACAAACAGCAATGCAAGCTACTGGCTTCTTATTCAAGACCTTTTTTCCAAATTCATTCAGAAAGAAGCAAAAACAAAGCATACATGAGGCTCTTGCAAGAACGTACTGCAGGAATAATAAGCACCAAGATCCCTAGCAGCATGATCCCTTTTCTAGCCCCCTTGGTGAACTTTGGTTTCAGTTATTATATGGAACACATAACCTCTGTGTATCAGGACCTGCTACCATATCATGCCAAAGCAGATCAGAGAGTGCCATTGTCAAATCTCCCACTTTTCCTGCAACAAGGAAAAATAATCATACCTTGGTACAAACATAGGAGCTAATCCATAGTCACTAAGCCAAAAATCTGAAACAGACTAATCAGGCAAGGCAACTTAATTACAGATGTGATGAACAGATGCACTTAAATGCTAGATTACGTTCATTTCTACTGTACCAACAATTCTTAAAAAAATCTATGTGCCAGGATATTATTCTTGCAAGGATAGTGTGTTTTCTTCAAAAGCACATTTGGAGGTGTTATAGACTATAGAGAAAGAGCGTAAATTAAGGCTTTCTCAACATTAAAAGGTCATCATAGTATAAAAGATTGTACATACCATCTCCTACGGGTTGTTCATCCCACATGATGATTGGCAATATGGGTAGCGTGCTTCCTACATACATCATTTCAGCCACACCTTTGGCTTCCTCAACAGTAAGATTGGCAGTTTTGACACTTTTAAGACACCCCTGCTCAACCAACTTAGGTGCTAATTCAAGAAGCCTTTTTGCAGTACATCCACTTAGGATCTTATCAAATGAAGGCAAAATAAGTTCTTTATCCTTGGTTATTAAAGCCACATTAACATTTGGACCCTCTGCAATAAAACCTTCCTCATCAACCCAAATAGAAGCAAATGAACCCTTGTCTTCAGCTTCCATTATTGCAAGAACATTTGGCAAGTAATTTACATTCTTCATTGTAGCAAATAGAGTTGATTTCATTGGGATAGTGGAGGTTATCACTTTAACCCCATTTTTGCATTGGGAGATGGTATCATCAATGACTACAGCATAGAAAGCAGATGTAGGGCATGCAGCAGGAGAAAGCAAGAAATTACCAGGACCTGCACTCAACCAGTATCTTAGTGTTCCTTCCTTGCACTGTGATGCTGCAGTCAATTGCACAAGAATGCTACGAAGAGTTGATCGAGGAAAGGGAGAGGAGATTCTTGCTTTTGCTGCTGATCTGAGGAAGCGATCTAAATGGGCATCCAGCTCATAGAGATAGCTACAAAAAAAGGATAGCTCAAATTAAACCCTGTAAACATAGAATTGCGCCGGTGAGTGGTGACGCTTTGATAAATACAAGATACGTTAACTAATGCATCAAAGAGATATCATGCACCTACCCATCTAGAATGACTGCTGTATCAAAAACACCATGCCCTCGATGAACCATGTGATCATCTATAGGAATTACCATCATAGCAGGATCAAGGATGATCCCTCCAAAAATGCTGGAATACATTGCTGGGTATGGTTTCTTTTTCACTGAACTCCACTTCTCGTGCAGCTTTCCCAGCAACTGGCATTGGGAGATACAAAGAAGATTAACTAAATGTTCAAAGAATGGAACACAATGAGAAGTGCATAGAAAAAGGTTACTATCAATATTTTACCAAAAAAAAAATGATGATCAATTCTCAGGCAATAATTAGAAATAAAACAGCTTGTAATGGTAATTTACACTCCTCCAGCTAAACAGCCATTTCCAAATTTTATTTTGAGAAATATTGAATCTGCAAGACATACAGGATCTATCAAGGACTATGATTACTTGATTTTGCTGTAACCATCATCCTGAACCTTAAAAAAATTGCAATCTTGGAAAATTTTTGAGTACTTCTAATCAATTCTTTTTCTTGCCAATGCCAGCAATGTCCCCAGCACATTGAATACCAAGAAATAAAAATCATTCAGTACTATAATTTCATGGACAAGACAATTGAAATAGAGAAATATCTGGCTGAACAGAGAACTGATGAGCAACAGTGACTCATCGCAATTACTAGCATAAAAACCATTGCTGCAAGCAGGCTAAATGTAATTCATCTCAACCATTCAATAAGCTCCTGAACCACAGTAAGCAATTCATCCATGTACCAAAAAAATGTTTCTTAACTAATTACTGGAGCAAACTTCTTAGTTGTAGCTGAAAAACCAACTTTTTTTTCTGTTGAAACGAAATCGGCCCCAAGAAATTAAATTTGACTTAAATGACAAAAAAATAAGAAAAACAATTGAAAGTAAAGAAGTAGGGATTTTGGGATATAACCTCTGATGATGAAGAGAACACATGAACAATAAAATCACTGCCACTTTCAACCTCCAATGTAGCCATTTCATCTTCCAACCCAAACAAAGATAACACAAAGCAACAAATAAGTTCAAAAAATTTTAAAAACTATCAACAGAAACAAAAAGAAAAGAACTAATCACCTGATTTCTTATCAGAAGAAGGGTTGCAATTTGCCATAGTTGTAAAAATAGATAATCAAAAGATACCCTCACGATTGGAATGAGAAAAGGAGATATTGGATACATTAGAAGAGCAAAGAAGTCTGGTTTTCGTTAGGTGAGAGAGGGTTTTTCATGATCACATGTCTGTCTTGTAGTGCTTGGACTTTGGAGAAAAGTGGCTTACTAGTTTGAAGCACATAAGTTAAAAGTTTCTAAGTTACTGTGACTTTTGCTCTGTCTGCTTTTCTGGTAATGGGATTTTGGTTCTTTTTGTCCTAAGTGGTGGGAATTGTGAGGAGGTATCAACTTTCTGTCTGCATCTAATCGTACAAAATATTTTAATATTTAGCATTGAATTATTTTAAGAAAAAATATGTTATTTATATGACTAAATAATCTTTTTACTTAATTTCCTTCAAAAATTTATTTTTATTAAATCCTAACAGATTTATATCTATCAATAATAACTCAATAGAAACAAAAACACTATACTAATGCCAAGGGCAGAGATCTATGCTTCTAATTTCAATAATGAGAATCCAGATTTGATGATTTTGAAAAAAAAAAATTTATATTATTGAATATGAGTTTTTTTATTAAAAAAGTTTTTTTAAAATTTTTAAACAATAAAAGTTATCATATTTCAATATCAAAACATATTGCATGATTCAATGAAGAATTATATTAAATTTATTTATCATTTATAAAAAAAAATTATTAATAACAAAAATAAACTTAAATTTAACATATATAATATTCAATTATTATCAAATCTAAATTTGATAATTCGTATTTTCGTATCATGTTTTATGTTATATCTGATACATGTAATAATACAAATTATTAAAATATGAACACGATATGAATTATCGAATATATTTAAATTTTAAACATGAATATGATGCGTTTAATATACTTGTTACATATGAAACGATATAATTAATATGTATATAATTAATTCATTTAAACACGATATGAATAAATACGAATAATAAAGATATACACGAATAGATATAATTAATATAATTATCTACAAATAAACATGATTAACAAAAATATATATAAAAATATAACTAAAATAATAAATAATTATATACTATTTATCATTTACAACTTAATAAATTTAACGTATTAATAATATAAAAAAATTTACATATTAAAAATTTTAATACTCATTTAATATGTATTTAATATATATACATATATTTAAATTTTAATTTATATTATATAATTATATTAATTTTTAATATCAAATTTAAAATGATAAATAATTAAAAATTAAAGAATAAAATAATAATGTATATGACTCATATTAATATTTATATTGTATTTATATTATTAATATAAAATATTAATTTTATAATAATTATTAAATGAGTATCATAATTAAATGTTTAAAATAATTTTTATATGAAATTAAATAGCTAATTAAATATCATAATTAAAAGATTAAAAATTAAAATAATTTGTATATGTTTATATTATATTAAAATAAATATTAAATATATTAAATATATATTCATATGATAAAATTAAATTAAATGTATTAATTGTATCATATCACATATTTAGATAAATTAATATATATGATATAAATTATATCATATTAAAATTTATATTAATATAAATAAATATAATATTTATTTATTTAAAATATATAAATAAATTTTTTATATTATATTATCACGTCGAATTCAAAATTATCTTGTCTAATTAAATCAATCAAGAAAACAACTATGATGCATTATTATTGGACACAACCTTTAACCATGTTCCCAGGCAGAGGCAAGACTATTAATAAGACGTCTCAAGCCGGCATTTGGCAGTGACCGCTTTTGTTCTTTCTCATTTAATAGATGATAATTCTAAGCACGCCACTTTCTTAGAGCTAATCTACCTATGCTGAAAAGATGAGCTTAGTTGGTTTTCCAGGTCACCGTTTGTCATTTTCTCTGTCGTTCTCTTGCAGTTGGTTTTCCACAAAAGAACTAGGAAAAGAAGGGAACGGAGGGTGAGTTTGGACTTTTATCGCACCATCAGCAGCGGTGCAATTATTTTTAAAAATTATGTTAATAGTAGATTTTGCACTTAAATATTTTAATGTAGTTAAATAAACGTCAGTTGTTAATTGATCATTTTTTATTGACGGACCAATATTTTTTATTTTTTGAATTATATTATTATATCGAAAATGTTCCTTAAATTTTTTATTTTAATTTTTATTTAAAAATTGTGAAATAATTTATTAATTTAATATAATAAATAAATTTTATAAATATTAAATAATTTAAAATTTTATTATATATAATTTTTAATCGAATTTTTTTATAGTTTTTTTATTACAAATTTTTTTATTGTTATCTTTTTTTATATCTAAATATATATTTTATTTTTAATTTTAATTTTATTGTTATAGTAATCAATTTTATTTTTATCATTATTTTTAATATTATCAAAATCAATTTCATTACTGTCTAAATGAAATCTTATTCAAGATCGAATGAAACAAGTAGGGAAGTTCAGAATTTTTTACTGTTCTTTTCTTAGAATTATCCTCGATCATGAACTTTGTCTACTTTTTTTCTTTAAATATTTGAAATTAAGATATGATAATTTTTGTATTCATATCTATAAAATACCAATAATTTTTATATTTGTATCTATTTTATAGAAAAATTATGTATTATAACCCATATTAATAAGAAAAACACAAAATACTTTTTTTTTTGTTAAATGCATACATAATTTTTTTGTTAAAACTTTAAACCATTAAGTTGTGTATTTTTTGTATTATTTTCCTGTTATGATTTAAATTGACAGTTTATGAGGTATCCAGGTACAACATATAAACCCTGAATTACTGAGCCACCCTCTAACTAAGCACTAGTTGACTTGAAATCGTGAAGAGGGTATCGCCAAGAATTTGCCCTGGAAATGCATAATTGATTGTCCTGTGTGATGGAAAATATGACCAACTGGTGTTAAATCTATAAATGTAGACAAATGAGAAAGATGATTATTGAATTGATACCCAAGTCCCGAATTCAGAAGCTTGGCAGATAAAACCACAACTGTTTGTGATGGTACTTTGTAGGTACTATAAGAGGAGCAAGTGTTTTACTCAGTTGAAACGATGAAAAAGCAGCATCAGAAAAACCAACAGAATATGTGGTAAAGGAGATTTCTGATTCAGAAATCCAATCTATTCACTGTATTTTTTTGGAAAATATGGAGAAATTCGAACCTTAGACGATTTCATTGCATAAGGAAGACTACTTTGCAGATGATCTATAACATTTGAATGAGAATTTTCCATGCAAACCGTATCTAACATCTGGAAGTGTTATTAATTGTTCTTCTATTATAAAAGAAATGCCTACAGTTTTAATGGTTGTTGGTATACTGTATGAGGCTTGAGGCCTTGTTAGATTGCTTTTACTTCTAATATGGCTGCATTAGCTTGGTGTGCCTTATACAGAAAGACTTTAACCTCCCTAATGCTTCTTTGAGAGAGTGCGGATCAGCAGCAAAAGTGATTCGAATCCAATTTTTTAACCCCACTGCAGTACCTGCATGAGATACATGCTTTCTCAGTTGTGCATGTTACCAGAGCTACATGAATGCCTAAAAATATGAGCCCAAAATTTCATCAACACCCCCCCCCCCCCCGGTCATATATGTTCAATTGATTTGTTTCTTACCAGGAAGAATAATAACAGATTCTTCTTTGGCCAGCCTGAAACAAAAGTCAATATCATCGCCGATGTCTTCCAGATTGGAAAGATTTAGCTTAATCTGCAATGCATGAACAAAAACAGCATGACCATATTTGTCAATCCTTTAGTTTCAGAAACAAAGAATTGCAAATTATGTTAGTCCATTACCATGGCGGCCATAGACCCCTGAGGCTTTTGGGGACAACTAATGCAAGGGATCTCCTTTATCATATCCCAACAAATATCTGAGGTCTGCTTCAATGTGTTAATAGTTTTCTTGAAGAAAACCTCATCAGTTTTCTCAATGATACGGGGAACAGCTGCCTAAGGCACCAAACGGAAAGCCACAAAATGAATGCAGTGAATACCTTCAGTAATGGAGTCATGCAATTTATAACACTAGCTCTGTAATAATGACTCAAATCAGAAAAGGAAACATTCGATTAATCATCCCTAAGATCAAGCACAAAACTAGATCCAATATGTCTAGCAGCAATACCGTATCATTAGGACTAAATTAACATTATTTTGTAAGTTCTTTCAAGGACTACTTGCAGCTTGCAGGATACTTGAGCAGATGCAATTCTGTTTTGTTTACAAAAGATTAGCTTATTCTCTAGAAACTTAAAGTTGAATCATTTAAACCGCTAGTAATTATACTTATGAACAACAAAAGGATGCTCGCTTTTCGTTAGTCCATAAACAAGCTGACACCAAACATACCTGAATAAAAGTTGCAGGTCCTCCCAAAATATCAAAATACTTCTTGATACGCTCAATAATCTGATAAAAATAAATAGTAGGACATATAAGCATCAAAGAGATTGACAAAATAGATTTTCCCATAATAAATAGATGTCTTACAACAGAGTCGATTTTCAACCTTAAGATGTAAGAAGTACAAATAAGGCCTTCCACATTTACATCACAATGATTGCATTAGTTTTTTTTTTTTTTTTCCAGAATGGAAAATTCATTGATTATGGAAAATTCATTGATTAAGTTAAAATGCATAAAGGTCAAGAAAGCAAATGTCAGTAGAGTTAGGCAAGTATTAGAAACAAATTTATGCAGTTATTAGATTCATAATTGCAGTATTCGGGCGAATACTGAAGTATAATATCAAGAATACAAATATCCAAAAGAAAGAAGATAACCTTAGGATTCTTAAACATGCCACAGGGGTCGCTTATCACAAACCAACCAAGTCGCCAGCCAGGCACTATCCATCTCTTTGATAGAGACCCTAGAGTCAGGACTGGAACAATTGATCCAAAAACTCCCATTGGTACAAATGGGTTGTCCCCAAAAGCAAGGTGCCCATAGACTTCATCAGCAATAACAGGAACTTTAAGCTTATCTGCAGTTTCTGCAATCTAAGTACAATAAACAAACAATTACATTATTCCCACTAAACCACTCTAACCACAAATACAATCTCATCAAAGTTTTTCATTTTCCTGCTGCATATCCTTTTTCCTAATGTACTAACCTTCTTCAAATGTTGATAAGAGTATACATTGCCACAAGGGTTGCCAGGATTTATGATTACCAAACCAACAGTGTTCCGATCAGCTAGTGCTACAATTGAATCAAGATCAACTTCCCAGCCCTTGTCAGGAAGAAGATCAAAATACCGAACTTCAAGACGTCTGAAGGTCGCACAGAGTTCATAAATTGGGAATCCTGGCCTAGGAAGCAAGATGTTTGCACCTGGTCGTGCAAGCATTGCCACTGCAACATCAATAGCTTGTGTGCAGCCAGATGTGACAAAAACATCATCAGGTGATAGATTGTAGGGAAGATCACATGATAGATACTCTGCAATAGCCCTGTAAAAAGTGAAAACATGCAAAAATGAGTAGAGAAATTTTCAAATATATGGTACCGGTGATCAACTCCAATATTTAAAAAAAGAAAATTGCATCACCTTCTAGGAAAACCTTACACCTTTTTTTTTTCACTTGAGGGTGTAACAGAATTTGAATCTTAATTACTAAAATTAAGAGTTAAACGCTCTACCGACGATAGGACTGTTGGCAAAAACCCCAGGGAGAAAAAAAAAAAAAAGGATAAAATTTGACCAAATTAGCCCTAGGTTCCATAAATTCAGGACAAGTACAATACTAAAGCTAGACTTTATCCAGCCCAGCTAGGCTAGTACTTGAACTTATCCTTCCGCTGCAAAAATTAAAGAACAAAGAACTTGGTCAAATTAAAATTTAAAGTCTGCAACTGCGATAAATAAGAAATTAAATTAGAAACGACGCAAAATGAAAAGAAATCCAGATTAGATTATTTGCAAGTTCTCAACTCCAATTGCAGTAATTGATGAACTGAACAAATCAATGGTTAGAGTAACCACAAAAATTTAAAAACAAAAGTACTATTGCAATCAGCTGAAACATGACTACCCTTATCTACTAACTGTCAGAATTGAATGCAGAGTTAACACAATTAGATGAAACTGAACATGTTTATTCTGAAATTCAGGATAAAACCATCTGCATCAAATTTAAGAATTTCATAAATTGAGCAAAGAAAAACAATAACAAAGATGGGAAATTTCACCTTCTGGTTTGGGGAAGGCCAACAGTCGGTGAATAGCCATTGAACTTCTCAGATTGAAGAGCTTCAATAACAGCTTCTCCAGCAACATGAGTAGTATGAAAACAAGAATAAACAGTAGGGTCACCCATACCTAAAGAAATCAACCTCTTCTTATTTTTTTCATCAATGTTTTGCATTAACAAACTAAGAATGCCTTTTATTGTGATAGTTGAAGCTGTTTCCATTTCATGGTTCACAGTTCCATTCTCCATAGTTTTAATTCTTTGATACACCCTTTCTTTTGGCTCGTGTTTTAGCTTCTTCAATGAGTTGAGAAAAGAGACAGACACAGAGAGAGAAGGAAAGACGGGTTTTTTTAAGATGGAGAAATTGGTAAGAAAAGAGAAGAACAGTTCCTTCACCACACGTTTAAGCAGCTTTGGACCTTTCCATGGGAACAGGCCTACAGCAGCCGCGAACAATTTGGTGTGATATGATTATTTAAATTTAATTGCTTCATTAATGATATTTAGAGTTTAATTTGATAGATTCATAATTTTTAAAAATTATTATTTAATTTGATTGATCCATAATTTTTAAAAATTGATATTTATAAAATTCGCAACATTTATCATTTTTTTATTTTTTACTTTTTTTATAAAAAAAAAACTATTTTTAATTATTATTTTTTAAGGTGTTGTAAAATTAAAAAATTATTTAATCGACAATAGAAAGAGGGGTTAATTTGCATTCAAAGATATCGAGAGGCTTTGTGTTACTGATTCTCTTAAAAGACTGACTGCAAGTCGGATAAATGATTAATGGCTTTGCACGTTGACCGAAGTGTAGATGAATGGCGCAAGCTGAAGGATGAAATAGAAAAGCAAAGCATATGGATAAACATCAAGACAATAGATAAAAAAATATTAAAAAGAAAAATAATTGCCAAGATTTAGATTTTTTTTATCAAGCCAAGATTCAAATTCGAGAACTCTAATCTATATACATAAAACTAAAATTATGCCTCGACAAATTTTGTAAGCATCTTGCAGCATTTGATTGACACATCATCAATTAGAGGAAAAATTAGTTTGCAAATTGCTAGCCATTTTTTTTAAAATAGGAAGGTTTTGCTTTCCTACCTAATTACTACACTAAGACCAAGGTTATGACAAATCAAATTGTCCAACAAGTACTTCAGCCTGGTGAAATCAATAAGCCGTCTGGAATTAATGCATTATTCAAGTCTTAAAACTATTCGCCAAAAATGAAGAAAAAAACAACAGCCGATGATGTTAGTTTTCCCCTTTGCAGTCTTACCTTTCTTATTACTATCGCATGAACCCAGAGGCAAGAAACATGCAAAGCAATAAAAACCATCATTTCTTATTACATTGCCAACATTGATTACCCAACTGCCAGCAATATACAAACAATAAATTAATCATAGTTCAAACATAGAAACACTACACAATTAAGAAACACTAGCAAACCCAATTCAACAGTCATCAAATATACAATAACCACAACAGTAAAGAAACAACTAGTAGAGAAAAAGCATACATTTATCACATTATCCAGAACCAACACCCTACTGGTGCCAATACCACCATCAAAACCAACCACAATTATCCAGCAAACAAGAATCAAAGCAAAATTAAAGGGTGTGGTTGAGGTAGTGATGTTTGGGGCTTTCGGGCATTGTTGATCCTAATAGTTTTCTAGGTTTTCTCTAGGCAGTAAAGAAGGAAAAACATTTTTGAGTGATTCTAGGTGTTCAGATGGGAGAGGAGGCAAGCGGTTTAGTTTGAATTTGTGGCTTTGGGTTTAGATTTAAGAAGATCTAGAAAATCTTTGAGAAAACTGATCAAAAAAGAGGTAAGATTGGCACCGGTAGTGGCATTCGTGGTGACAGAGGTAGAGCGACGATGGTGAATGACAGTCGATGACCTTTTGGGAAATCTAAAACCATGAGGAGGAAGAGCAAGGGGAGAAAAGCAACATATTAAAATTTCAGTCAAATTGGACGGCGAAGCTAGAATTAGAGAGAAGTGACAGAGTTTGGATGTTAAGGAGAGAGAGAGAAAAAAAGAGTGAATTGTTGGATAAGAAAAAGAAAAAAACAAAAGAAAAGAATTTTGAAAATAATAAAAAATCACGGTTTTAAATTAAAATAAAATAAAATAAATCATTATATACTTAAGTGTTACATTTTAAACTTCATAAGCTACTTTAAATTCTATCAAATCACAAAATGGTTTTATGTAGTTTATCTTAATATTAAAGTTATAGATTTTTAAAGAATTAGACAATTATTTTCCTACAAAATTTTTTAATTTTATGTCTTATTAGATAAATTTTATAAAAAAATTTTAATTAAGGTAAGGATGATAATATCTAGTTGATTTCAAATCATACCACTTTAAAAAAATAGGCATTTTAAAAAAAAATTAAATTAGGTCGATTTTTTTTTTAAAAAAATTGAATTAAGTTAAAGACGAGTTTTAGGTATTCCATCTCATCTTAAGTGTCCACATGACACTTTTCTCATTTTTTTTTCATTTTTATTTTTAAAACCTTTTTTTAGTTTTTTTTATTTTTTTATTAAATAAATTTTGCAATAAAAAAAGTAATTGAAATAAAGATGACAAAATAACTAGATGAGTTTCTATTAATCTTGATTCAATTAATGCATTTTTTTAAATTTGAGATAATTAGATTGAATTTTTTTAAATAGAGTTCAGATAAAAGCAAAGTTTTGGATATTATGTCTCAACCTTAGTTTTTTTTATGATCTATTTAATTATATATTTTTTATTAAAAAAATATTATTTAATATCTTAATTTAATAAATTCATGTATCATCCCACTTGACTTTTTTATTTTGTTAATTTCTTTGTTTTTAAAAATTTATTGTATTAGATATATTTTGTAAATAAAAAATTAACAAGTGTAAAGATGATAAAATAATCTATATCCAATAAGCTTTGGTTCATTACAACCCAATCAATATTATTTTTTTAATAAAAATTGAGTTAAATTTTAACTTTTTAAATAATTTATGTGAAATCAGGTTTTAAATGCTATGCCTCAACTTTTCTCAAGATTTATAAAAGAATACATTTTCTTATTTATATATATTATATTAATAAAGATATTATGTAATATCTTAATTTAATAAAAAATTATATTTATATATAATTAAACTATAATTTATATTAAAAAATTAATTATCGTCCATATAATTAATATTTTAGATTTTAGAGCTTTAACTCTTTTTAAAAATTAATTTTTTTTATTTCTTTTCAACTTTTCCTTTTAAAAAATTTTAATTTCTTTCATTTTTTAATAAAATAATGTAATAGTAGTAAATGTCCCGTAGATATTCCTCTTTATTTTTTTAATTTTTTCTCTTTCTTTTATTTCTTTTCATATTTTTTAATTTTTAACCATTTTTATTTTTTTTCTACTTTTTCTTTTAAAAATATTTTTATTTCTTTTATCTTTTAATGGAATGATGTGATGGTGACAAAAGTCTCACCCTTTTTTTTTATTTTCTAATTTTTTGAATTTTTTTCACTTCTTTTCATCTTACCAAATGGGGTTTTTTTTTTTTTAACTTTTTTCCCTTTTTCATATATTTTTTCTTTATCATTTTTCTCTATACACAACTTTTATTTTTTAACTTCATTTTCCCTTATCTTCTTTTCCAAATTCTCTTATTCTTTTGCAACTCTCAAAAAACAAGATAAGAAAATAATCATTATCATAATATAAGATCCGCAGACCTATCGCTAAGAAAAAAGTCGACACCAATATTTTTTTATTTAGGTGCGATTGATCACATAAATAAATCTATCCCATTTTAAAAAGAAGTCTCAAGCTTAACTTAAGTATCTTTAAAAGGTAAACTCACGTTCACGAAACTACAACTAAGTTTAGAAATACGTTTACGTATGAAGAAGGTTATAGAACGATCACAACGCTTGCTCAAATGATGGTACCAATTTAATCTCATGTTATCTAAAGCCTTAAAAATTTTACCAAATAATTAATTATTGAAAATTATCTTTAAATTACTTCAATATTTTGATAATAATTTTAGGTCAGTCTCCCACCTCAAAAGTATTTAAGGAGACTATTTATCACATTTTAAAAAAGTTCTATCTTCGGATTTATTAATATTTAAAAATAATAATTGTGATAATCAAATGAGATTCAAAATCTTGATATCATATTTTTATTTAAATTCTCTAATATTTTGATAAAATTTAGAAAGGATTTCTCATCTAGGAATTTATATAAAGATTACTATTTATAATGCTCTTAGTAATTCCATCATTGAATATTCAAAATCTAATTTTACGAAAAAAAATTCTTTATTTTCAGAAATATCCTCCAATATGTTGGTAAAATTTTTCGCTAGAAATTATCCTTCAATATGTTTGTAGGATTTTATGAAAATTATTTCTTTTCTAAAAATTAATTTTTATTTTAAAAATTATAAGATTTTTCAATATGTTGGTAAAACTTTACCTTAAAAATCAAATTGTCTCCAATATATTGGTAAGGCTTTATTGAAAACTATTTTTTTCTCTTGAAATTTTTTCTTTACAAAAAATTAATAACGTTCTCCAATATGTTGGTAAAATCTTATTTTAAAAATCAAATTACCTTACAATATGTTGGTAAGGCTTTTTGTTTTATTCAAACAATTTGGTAAAAATTTAAATATTCCAATATGTTGGTTAGATTCTTTTTATTTAAACATTTATTTTAAAAAAATCTGAATCCTCTAATATGTTGGTAAGGTTCTTTTTATTTTATTTTAAAATTTTTTTCCTGTTTTTCTTTTTTTTAAATATTTACAAATAAATAAATACATAAATAGTCAAATAAATAAAATAAACAAATAAACAAATAAATAAATAAATACATAAATAGATAATTATGATAAAATATAAAGATAACTAGAACTTAAAAAAAAAATAAGTAAAAAGTAGATACCAGAGATTAGGCTACAAACAAATGTTAGTCCTCTTTTACTATTCATGCTTCTTTATCCACTTGTTTTCTTTCTTGTTTTTCTACAAAACAGCTTATAGTTTTGCTAATGCCTTTCACCTATGGTGATTGCCTTTCTTTCTAGTTTAAACAAAAATCAAACAAAAACCTAAAATATATATACTTCAAACCCTCAAAAATTTTATTGCCAAAACTTTTTGTTGAATACCTTCTTTTGTGTTTCTTCTCAATTCTTTTCCCCAATATAGAAGAAAATCCTACTTATCTAAACCTAAAATACAATAAAAGATTATAAAAAGAAAAACTTTTAATTTTTTTAACTCTTTCTCTTTGATTTTTTCTTATTGATTCTTCATTGTTTAATTGATCATAATGAGGTCTTTTTATAGGCCTCTAATCCAAATTACAATAGGAGAAGGTTTTTTTGGTTTCAATCTCCTAATCAAAGTCAATTTTAGATTTT